GTTTATGCAAACCAACGAAATCAAATGACTCCACGTTATTCTGCATCATTGTTTGTTCCTTCTCTGGTCAAATTTATAAAGAGGAATTCTCATTTGAAATTATGTATCTTTCTTGAACTGCAATTCCACTGATCTTAAAAAATCAATGTTATTTAAAAACACGTCAATATTGTTAATGGCAATCATTCTAGAATATTAAATATGCGTACATATTTATGTATATACAATTGTAGAGCAGGAAACGAGATTCATCGAAACGAATATATTGTTTGCTCAAAATTTCTTTTGTCTTCTAAATGTTTGAGTGGGAAATCTCCCTATATTGAAATTCATTTTAATTTAAAGAATACAAAACAATGTCTCTAGCATTATAGAATTATATATATATATATATATATTTAAGTGATACCAATGAGTATTTCTATAATGTGACTGCAAAGTTTGTGATTTACGTGAACGGAAAAGGCAAGATCACGTTGTAGGCGAAAACAATATACTGTGTCAGTTAACTTGTTCTTTTGCATTTCTATTCACATATAGATTTAACAAGAGATGGCTTTATTGTTTGCATCCAATAGTATAATTGACCCTAGGAACACACTCTTATTTCTAATAGTCTGTTGTTCAGCGTAATTCTTCAGTGAATGAAAATCTTTCAAACTAAATTTTCCTGAATATTTCCACTTTGCAGAAATACGTTGCTGTGTATCACAATAAAGTCGTTTCTATCGATATGACCTTAGCTTCAAGATTGTTTCGCACGTTGCTGTATAATATTTTGGGTAAACAATCAACATTTCACTTTCATTTTGAGTTTTATATTTCTTCTTCTTGTGTATAACATTACTGATTTTGTGTTTATCTAGAAGGGATTCTTTCTGAGCTGCTTTTTGCTATCATCCTGTGTTTGAATATCGTTTAGATTTAGCATGAAACTGATAAATGCTCAAAGACACTTCTTCGCTAACTGACACTACTGCATGGATTTAGCTGATATTTTTCAGTGGATTTCTAAATACCCAACTGCAATGAGATGTTAAAGAAGTGAATATCTGTACTCATCTATTATTATTATTCCTCTGGGTTCCGACTGAAAAATAAAGCTGCTATAGGACATCTCCATTTTGTCTCGTTCACTCCTGGCCAGCCATCTGATACTCCGTATAGAGCCGGCACAGGCAGCTGTTGATAAAAGTCTGCAGTAGCTTGTTGTAAATGCTTTTCAGGGCGTTCCACGTTTCTGATCCATATAAAAAGAAAGACTTAACATTGGTGTAGGAAATCCAAAATTTTTTTTTTGTGCTGAGGAGTAGAGAAGAACTCCGCACTAATTTCAGAGTGATGGAGGTCTGTCTTCATCCGTTGGGCGTACCCGTAATTGAAACGATGCAGCTTAGATAAGTGAAGAATGTGACCTCTTTCAGATCTTTCCCGTTGACATCGACTGATGCTGGTATTTTTTGGTGGTCGGTGGCTATCTTTGTCACCTTCATCTATCTACTTCTATTTGCTGTCAGCCTCTTCTGCTAGTTTATTGATTTTCGCCCTTGGGTCTTCGAGTTTGTGTGACATTATACATAAACCTTCACTCTATACTGAAGATCAGATGGCCGGCCGGAAAGAATCACAAACAACAAGAAACTATGGGAACAAACAAACGACACAAGAACCAATCGCCAACCAACAAATATGCAGGAGAAAATGGAGATGGATTAGACGCTCGCTCGCTGAGGAGGCCTCTGGGTGACATCGCGCGCGCGTCAGGCCATTGCTCGAGTGGGACTCGAAGGGGAAGCGGAAAGTGGAACATCAGTGCAAGGGTGACATGGAGGAGATCGTGTGAAGAGGAGTTGAAACAGTATGAACTAACATGGATGCAGGTGAAAAGTACAGTAGAAGATAGAAGCAAGTGGAGACGTGCAGTTGAAACCCTATGTTCCACTAGAAACCCAAAGGAACAATAATAATATACATAAACCGCTCTCGAGGCTCACTTCTTTTAGATTCTTCTTATCACCCCAACATATTCTTCTCTTCTTGCTTCTCATGACCTTTTGCATGATCCAGTTCACTACAATTAGCATTACCATCTGTGATAGCAGGCAGACAGCCTTCTCTTACTCCCGTCTTCGTTTTAAAGGTTTCCATCCTGAATCACTTGACATGTGATGTTGTTATAAAGCTGGTGAATGAAGTCAATAAAGATTTGGAGCACCGCTCTCAACAGTGTTGAATTACTTTCCGAATTACATCACGGCCAACACTGTTAAAAGCCGCTTCAAACTCGATGAAATTGAGGCAGCAATTCGATGGCCAATCTATGCTCTGCTCGATAGTGATGCGTAGCGTTGCAATCTGATTCACGCATGATTCTCTTTTCTTGAATTCAGCTTGTTTCGGGGTGAAGTTTAAGAGTGATTAAAATGCGAAAGCAGAAAACAAACAAAAGCGTTAAGTGTTTGGGAAAGGTTTAGCACTTATAATTGATATTCAGGAAGGTTTTCGCTTCAGTTCACATCATAAGACAATTTATCCTCTTCAGTTTCGAGTTTCCTTCATTTCGTTTCTAATTCGTTTATAGATTATTTTAGAAAACCTTCATGTGCACCTTAATTTTATGTCTTATTGACAAATATATATACATACTTCTTGTGAAAGCTTGAATACTTTTAAGTGATAATGAAAGCTTCGAAAGATGAGTTTTTTAAACCAGTTCATTCTTTTCACAAATAAGTATCAACTTACTTACAGGTAAGCTGACAGTATTATATGAATGGAGTGAAAAGTTTTCTTCTGGTAAATACGGCTGCTTTGTTTCCAGATAAAGTTTTATATGAGCTAATGTAGCCTCTATTATTTAAGTGTGATTCCGTGGTTTTCCCCAGTAGTAAAAACTAACATCCTTTATTGGGGCATTTGTCTCGAGAGAAACTCGGTAAAATGAAATGTCAGCTTATTTACTTCACTGAGATGAAACGTGTATACTGTAATAGAATAACTGTTAGGAAATCCTTCCTGAACGATTTAGTTACGATATTGCTATTCATTTAGACATTTTAACTAATTTGGTCATTATTAGTCGTTTTTCTTCCTGACGGTATATCACTGTTCTGATATTTGCATATCGTATGTTGACGCCATACGAAAACACGGGAGCAGTGGACAGCCACTTCATCCCCTTCTGAGAATTTTCAGCAGTAGATACTCACCACTGGGGTTTGAACCCAAGGCCTTCCAGTTAAAAGGCGAGCTCGTAGACTATTCAGCTGCTGAGACGCAGTCTAATCGCCCATGAATTCCAACATTTGCCAGTTAACTATATATTTATGTCACGGAAGAGTAGCTAACTCCTACCTGACTTTTTGGCCCAGATGGTTATGACTTCTGACTACAATTCGAAAAAACTTCCTGTATAGAGCCAAACAGTAATCAGCACAAGCTGAATATAATATCAGTTACAGGTTTGATCACGACTTGACATCATATCGAACCCCAGTGAATGCGTCTCAAAGTAAGACGAAGAAAAGTGTCAGTACTTCCAGGCTCTTCAAGAGACGTCGACTCATGATCAAATCTGTTACCAATAAAATTCTTGCGAACCAACACCTGATGATACTAAATTTCATCAAGAAGTGCACATTCAAAAAGTATTACTTCGAAATAGTTTAAATAGTGACCGGATGTGAATACATTTTATCTTCATCATTACTGATGCATTATTTTTTGTCATAACAACTTACTATTTCTGGCTTTGCGAGACAGGAAGGCAATGATTTACTGGTTCAATTTTTAAAAAAATATGAGTAATTTTGACATTCATAAATGAACATTCAAAGGTAAATACTACTACAATTCTGGTACTCTTGGAAATAGTATGAGCTGTTTGAGACTACAGTTTCGTAAAACTGAGTGAGCTACAAAACTTCGTAGTTTGAAATCTGAAAATGCAAAAAGCAGATATTTTGGGATTATTCATCGTATAATACTTTCATTGCATTGTGCATTGGTGGCCAACCACGCAAGTGGTCTGAGGTTCGATTACTGGCCGACGCACCCCTAAAACTCCACTTAGCCTGTAGTAAGCTACGTAAAGAGGGAAGGTTTGATGTGAAGTTAGCGACCCGCCACCCCATAAGAAACAATGAACCCGCCCGCTTTGTTCTACTAGGAATGCAAAGGTATAAAAGCATACTCAAAATTCTGCATTCACCTTTAATCCTTTTGGTGACAGCCTATTTATTCACCATATTCGTGAAGTAAATCTAAAACAACCAATATAAAACCACTGGCCATCATTAGATTTTTTTATTCCCACATATCTTAATGACGTCATTTTACAGTAAGCAGTATTATAAATTTTAAAAAATCAAACAAACAAAATAATCACTCAATATTTTCTGTTCACTTTGTAATCAAACTTTAGCCAGAAACAATAAAACAGTTTGTTTTCAAACAAAACGTGTGGAAAAACAAAACAGAAATAGTGTTTCACAGTCAGTTTCAAAAAACAAAAAAAAGGGACACGTGCACACATCAAAAATGAATGGCAAATCAAGCACAGTTTTTTTTAAAAAATTCTTTTCTCCTCTTTTTTTTCCTTCGTGTATATCTCAGAGAAACAAAAGACGAAGATAAGAAGAAAACTGGACATTGTTCATCAGGGAGTAGCGCAAACTGTCTTTCCGCCAAGTTTAAATAATCTCTCTCTTCACAGTTAGATGCAAATATTCACTTTTTGGTTTAATCTTTAAATACTTTTAAACATTCAGGAAGAGGTGAAAAGATTATACATATATATATATATATAAGTATTTCTCGTTTATGTTTTACTATTTTAAGAAATTACTGTTCTAATTACAAGACTCTGCTATTTTTGTCATTATCAGTAGAATTTGTAGAATCCTCTTTATTGATGTTTATCACAATGGTCTCTTTCATTTAAGGAGTTGAAGTGTGCAAATTTATACTTGTATGTAAACAATAAGAACAGCAAGAACCTTTCATTGTTCTGTGAACCTGTTGACAAAATGGCAGGGGAAAAAAGAAAGAGGAAAGTTATCATTCTCTACTGTTTATCTTTTATTCAGTTTGTCTCTAAAGAAAACAAAACATTCTCTATTCAAAAAGCGATGACAGTATCCGCTTCTTAGTCAAAAACCAAACAAACAATAATGATGATAATGATAACAAAAAAGTAAGAACAAAAATTACCGATATATTTGTTGCAATGTGTTTGATGGATCTCAGGAGAGCAATCAGTAAATAATTTCACCGATGATATAGAGTAATGACAGTGTGAAGATGACAACATACTTTAACACTGAATTCTATGTGAGAAATAGCTGAACAGTATTGAATAGTTTCATCCCTCTGAAAACGAGCAACGAATTAAAACTTCATAATAATAAATAACTCAAGATTTCTTTTAACTATACTCAGTACTCGCACTGTTTTATCGTGAGACTAAATTTATCAGGATTGAGTTTTACTGGTAATACAACTATGTGGATATCGCCACCGGTTAGAAAGTCTTGAGTACCAAGCATATCATGGATGAAAAGATCTAAAGATTAAATATTAGATGAAAAGAATGACAACATTTCATGCATTTATTCCCCTTACTGAATTTGAATAAAGCAATAGAAACAGCTTTTGCAGAATAAAATGGTAACATCATTAATTTCGTTGGCTTGTCATCCGCTGCTCACAGGCCTTTAGTCATTATTAGGTATATCTAGAGAAACAATTTTAAGATACTTGCACAGAGTTTATTTTTAAACAAAAATCAAACAATATATGCATACAATAGTAATATACATGTAATAATAAACAGTTTATCCCGAATAATAGTGGTCATGCACATTGTAAACATTCGATGTTACGTAATCAGATGAAAGACATGATAAAAATATCTAGTTACCAGGGCAGGGGAGACTGATAACCTCTTCTTAAGAAAGCATGAATCGAATTTCAGGCGCTTGATGGAGATCACTTCGGCAAACTTAAGCAGAATTGAACTGTCTTACCTATTGACAATTTAGAACAATCTTGCGACATCCTCCTCATGACGTGTGTCAAGAAGATGGCCGGCGATGACATTACTGAAAGCATTTTTCCCCGTGAGACGTAGTATTTTTTTGAAAAAGTTCGGAAAATCGAAGGAATATCCTTCTTTCTGTTCTTCCAATGTAAGTGCTCCTGCAGATACACGTGAATTTGCATATACCATATGAGGAGGTGGAGGTGAGAATCTGTGTACAGTTTTGATGCCAGCTAAAGAGGACTGCAGAGAATTGGACAAAGTTGAAGTGTGTTTTTAAGGCGCTGTGTTCCACTCGGAACTCAGGGAATAATAATATTTTATCTGAAGGTGAATTGTCACATTACCAGCTTCACAGATCAACCGACAATTTACTCGGGAAACACCATATATTTCGAAATCAATAGCTGGTAGCACCGAAGTATCTAAAAAAGTCATCACACAGCTGTCGGACAATCTCTGTCTTCTAATAATACTATGCAGATTTATTAAAGGGGCTAATTGTTTTAAATATCATACTCCTGTCGAAGTGTATCCACTGACCCTTATTATGGAAATCGACAGAACTACTGAAACGAATGGCATGTTTGTTGACTGACTTATGTTTCCCATGACAGTGTGCCGAAACAATAGCAATGGCCAATACTTGTAAAACTAAGGCGCATACTCAAGAGAAACTTTGAGAACCTTATACCTTTTATAACCTTGTAAGGGACCGGCTGTTTATATTATCCCTGATCTATCAGCGTATCAAATTTTCAAAATGCCTCTGCATCATATTTAATAAGCAACCAAACTATTACAAATGAGGCATATTCATCAGCAAGTGTGTGCTGTTTACGCTGCAGAATTAGATACACGGATCATTAAGCTCCCTCAGATCAAGTCTTGATTGATAAATGAAGTGGATAAGCACCGCCTGTTCTCATGTTCAATGTTTTATCCCAACTATAAGTATGTAACTCAAAAACCTTAAAATCGATGCACTAATGACTCACAATGGCAAGCAACATTAAGAACTTTCGAGAAATTGTATGCAGCTGTTCTTCATTATTCCTTTTCTTTCCCAGTGAAACATACAGCTTCAGCCAAAGCTTTGAAGTTTCGGTAGCAAGGGTGTTTACTTTTTAACGGATGGGGTTGGTAGCCTCATGCCCAACCTTCCCTCTTTACAAGTCTTATTACTGATTTGGCTAGGTAAAAGAGAGCATCGGCCGGGGATCAAAGCTCGAATCACCTGTGTGGTTGGCTAGCATTCTACCGCTGTGCTACCAACGCAACTGTTCACTCACACACATTTTTCTAATTCAGATTTTCTTACTGCATACTGGGCCAAATCTTGATCACAGTTTGAGCAATTTCGTTTACTGTGTTTTCGATGACCATTCATGATTGATCAATGCAAGAAGAATATTCTTTCCTATAACTTCATCAGATTCTGAAGTTATATCAGTAATAATTAAAGGGCTATGATTACTAACCAAATGTAAGTTTTTGTTTAAATTACATACCGATAGATTACAGCTCAAAATCATCCGTGAGTGATAATGTGCACCAATTTAACACTAAACTGATCGAATACCAGATAACCTAAGGGAAGTAACACATAATTTATGAATCTGTAGGTTAAATAACATGCCATAGTGGCAATAGTGGCTGAACCTGCTTCTTTTGCATACACAGCTCCAGCTATCTTAAGTGGGTTCCAATGACATCTGCTTTTTAGAGTGCTCGGTGTTTAGAATCCTTTGGTAATTCACTAGAAGACGGCCAGTTATTGCTACAGGAACCTAATTTTTTTCTCTCAGAAACACCAATTTGGTTAAATAAAGGTGCTGTTAAAGCCATCGGCAGTTCTATACAGAATCGCGTCTCCCCAACAGGACACAAAGCTAACAGAATTGAAGAGTATTTGCCTATCATCTATCGGGTATCCAATATATTACTTGACTTTACTTTCAAGCATCGACGTGACTTACTTGAACTAGTTAACTCTCATGATCCCTGTAGCATAGATGGCACGGAAATTGAAACCAAATCAAGCATTAAATACCTTGGACTAGTTTTTTCCTCTGACCTTTCATGGTAATCCCATATCTTATCTAGCTCTAAGAAAATGTTTCGTCTTACCCTCTACATTAAAAAGTTAAGACAATCAGGTATCAACCAACCTTTAGTTTTGCAATTTTAAACTCCTGTATTTTACCTATTGTACTCTACTGCTCTCCATTAATCTTTCCTGGGCTTCTCAAAAAAGATTATATCATATTACGAAGAGTATTAAATGCTGTGAGTAGAGCTTGTGGTCTGCCACTGCATGAGCTCGCTAATACTATAGTCGAGAGGCATATAAATTCCTGTACGAAATGGGCAAAGGCTATAATGTCAGACCCTCTGCACCCCCTTTATTCACACCTGTCCCCTTGTATCTCATCAGGTAGGACGAGAAGTCAATATAAAAAGATATATGCTTGTACTACTAAGTATAGAAATTCTACAATACCTTATTTAGCGCGTACTTTATGTGACGAAGACTCTGTTAGACGTGAAAATCACAAGTTACTATGTAATTAGCACAGTGAATCGACCCTTTTATCGTTCATCTTTCTGTATTTTATGGTTTCACACTTTCTATCGTTTAAATCGTTACTCTGCTATTTTATATTAGTTGGTATTACTATTATTACTACAATTTTGTATTTTATACATATTTTTCTCCGTATGGCACACAGTATTTTGCTACGTAGCTGCTACATCAATCGTTTTTATTACTATTATGTATTGTGTATTTTTAATTTTTTTTGTCGTTTTAGAGTAAATTAGATGCAATATTGTACTGAATGCTGAAAATTCCTTGCTGTATCATAAGTACTGTTTTTTGGAATAAAGCGATTATTATTATTATTACTATTACTAAAGGCCTTTGGATACCTAACACTGAAAACAGCAGACGCATTGCGATTCGCCTAAAACAACCGGAGGTCTGCGTGAAACAAACAGCTCCTGCTACCATTGCTACCCTGAACTGCTGTTGAGCCTGTAAATTCATAAATTGTGTCTTACTTCCCTTAATTTATTTGATATTTAGTTTAATGTTACATTAACGCATGTCATCTCTTACAAATGCTTTTGAAATCTAATCTGTTACTACTGCTAATTGAATGTAATTTAAACACCATTAATTTTATTTATAACAATATAACAACATATAAATGTAAAACCTATTGACGAATTTATCAAACAGAATATTCTTTGTTCATTAATCGGTCTTTTAATTTTTACTAGGCACCTTCAATGGACTATTCACGATTCATACGAAGAGACAAGATATTTTAATGTATCTTTATATGTATGAATATACCTTTAATATTTTAATTTTGATTATATCCCTGAAGAAGGACAGACCAGTTTGGCAAACGAAAGGTTGGAGTTATTTATTTCAGTTTAGATGAAACTTATGCAGATATAATTCTAGCATATATCTCTATAAATTTCTATCAAAATCAAACCTAATCTGTTGCTAACTAGTCACTGACTAAAAGACCAAGCTACCTGGAGTTCATTTGAGAAGTCGCGACTAGTGGGATCCACCAAACCGGAAGTGAGGACAAAGACTCACCGATGATGTTGGCTGGCGGTCGTGCTAAAATCACCAAGTGACAGAAATTAGAATTCATGCGAAGTCACTGGATTCTGTCCCAGTGGCTGAGTGGTGAACGAGCTTGAACTTGTCAACTGAGTGCGCTGGTTTCACTCCCTGGTTGGGGTTGAGGATGCGTACTCCCGAAATGTTCCAAACTCGGACAAAACTACTGTCCAGTACTCCTTAGTTTCCAGTGATTATCTCAATGACATCGATCCGTGATCAAAATTGAAACAATTTAAATCTCTACAGAATAACCCCTCAAGACACTCATTGCAATCGCTTATTATCTTAATTTTATCTAATTTTATCCACAGTTGTTGAATCTGTCTT